TTTGTGCTTCCGTTGCATGTATCCTTAATCTATCTACTCCTTTTGTGCTTGCGAGAGGTAGTGGTGCAATTATGATGGGAATCAATCATACACTAGATGATAGACTGTTGCATATTGAACTCTACTCCCTGTTGCGTGAGGGAGGCTGGGAGGGGTGCAATTTTGATGGGAATCAATCAAAGCATCTGTGAATGATTGAAAATAATTCTAAGGTGCGGTTTTCATCAGCGATTTTGCCTATAAAAGACTTTCCGGAAAACCACTTCTCTTCACACCTCTCCTTCTCCCTTTTCAATTTTCTGTTCTAGCTCTATATTTCTTTAGTAGTTTTGCGATTAACGTTAACTAGTAAGTTTATTTTGTATTACTTTTTATTTTTGATTTTTATGATATTAACTGAACTACGGTTTTTTTTTTTTTTTTGCAGATGGCATTCCAAAAGTTCACGCTTGGCTTACGGTTGAATGGTTACACGGAAGAGACCGGAAAGGGGGTCACCTACGTCGGTGGCAATTTTCAGAAGATAAAGGTCGCTACCAGACCGCTGCTTGAAGACCTCCATCAAATGTGCACTAACGTTACTTGCATGGATGGCTCAAGAAGAGTTGATCGTATGGTGTACCGATATCCAAACAGAGAAAGTGGGTCATTGTGGCATGAGGAATATCTCATAACCACTCAGGATGAGGTAGATGCCATGCTCGAATTCATGAGGTCCAACAATCTTTCCAAAGCCAAGATGTTTGTTTACACCGAGCCGGTCGTAGGTGTTGGAGGTCATTCTGGACACGGTCTAAGGTGTGGTCCATAAAAAAGGGTGCTATTAGTGTAAATTTTTTCGGCTGGGTGCTATTTTTGTAATTTTTTTTAAATGGTGCTATAATTGGAAAAATCCCCAAAATTTCAACAACAACAACAATACCAAAGACAAGGTGTGCAAGGGTTTCAACAACAACAACAACAACAAGGTTGGGTCCCCAAACTCAATGACCTAGTAACAACCTTTGTGAGTACAATTTCTCAAAAGTTTGAGAAGATCAAGAAGTACATGGAAGTCGCAACAAACAAGTTTACTTCGGTTAAGGCCGTTTAAGAAGTCATCAAGCAAGTCTTCAAAATTTGGAGACTCAAACTGGCAACCTTGTCGATATCCTCACCGAGAGACCTAAAGGAGCTCTACCTTCACAAACTGTAGATCCAAGAGCGGGTTGCATGCTATTACACTAAGAAGCGAGAAGGTAGCTCAAGATGTTTCTATAGAAGAAGTAATTGAGGAAGAAGCCCCTCCAAAGGTCGATGAACAAGTCCTTAGGAAGGAAAGGATGAAGAGGCTAAGAATGCACCACCGAAACCACTTCTTGAGGCTGATATAAGCCTCCAGTTCCTTTCTCCACAAGAGTTCACAAGGACCATTTGAAGGCAGAGTTTGGAAAATCTCCGGAGATGCTCAAAAAGCTCAACATCTCTGCACCTTTCTTGGAAGTGATGGTGCATATGCCGAGGTATGCAAAGTTTCTCAAGGGGCTTCTCATAAAGAAGCGTAGATTTGAAGACCTCATCGTAGTCACTCTGAGCGAGGAATGCTCGACCATTATCCAGAAAAAGTTTCCCCCAAAATTAATAGGATCTAGTAGCTTTACTAACCCCTTTACAGGGAAACATGTCATATAGAGAAATCCTTAGCATATTTGGTGCAAGCATCAATGTCATGCCATACAAGCTTTACATTGGCTGACTGTTCTATGATTAATCGTAGTGGCATAGTGGGAAAGTTTTACTAGCCGATATATCTAGTTATACTTGATCTTTCTGAGGATGCCGACATGCCCCTCATACTAGGACAACCTCTCATAGCCACCGCCAATGCATTAATTGATTTGAATGAGGAAACTTTGATTTTGAGAGATGGTGAGGAGAGTATCACTTTTTCGATTGATACAAAAGAGAAACTTGAGAATGTGGATGGGATAGAATCGAATGGTGTTATTATTAGTGGAGGTAAGCCTTCCAAGGCAAACCACACTTGTTCTCCTCGTGTTTGTGATAATGTGAAGCAGGATTCGGAAAAGGGTGCAAAACCTTAATTTAAGAAGAAGAAGAAGAAATGGCGCCAAAAATTGAATATCACCTTGTCCCGCAGAAAGAAGAAGACTAAGGGGAAAGCAATTGGCTATGAAGGCCATCCTTCGGAAATGGTGATCCGAGGTGAAAAGCCTTGCCCTGAGACTGTGGTGGATCCACTCTTAGTGGCCTCATGTTCTAAAGCATGAAGATCCGTAACGTCGAGCTAAGGACGTAAAACTAGCGCTTGTTGGGAGGAAACCCAACGTCACTTGTATTTCTTTTCCTTATTTTTCTCTTTTTGTCAGAGATAGAGTAAAGTGTGTGAGTTTTGAATGATCACCATGCCATGGTTAAATATGTTTGGGTAGGGGCACAGTTGAATCAATTGAGCGTTGAGAATTGTGGAAATGCTATCCTTTTGCACACATCACGGTTCCTATGTAATCTTCACGGTCTCAAACTATGATAATTACATCCAAACTGTGATGTTGACATGCTTTCCCACGATTTGCAGACATCACGGGCCGCATGTTATTATCACAGGCTATGGCCCGTGATTTTTAACGTACCGTGATGTCGACCCAAAACTCATCATTTTTGGTCGAGATCACGGTTTGCCTTTCACCATGATCTCTGCAACAAAACTGTAAAGTTGACCCTCAGGCTGTATAAAAAGGGCATTAAGTTCACAACCCGTGAACTTCAACTCGCCGGAACCCTCTGAAAATCTTGCCAGAAATCGTTCTCCCATAAATTTTTTCGACGATTAATCTAGTTTCGAGTGACCAAATGAAAAACCAAACACATACCAAGACTCCTCTCGCTTAGGCGCTCCTTCTGTGAGATTTTGGAGGAGTTTGGCTTCAATTGTGTTGTCGATGATTTTCTCCCCCGAGCTTCAAGCGAAGCTCCAACAACCCCCTCGACTAGTTTTTTGTCCATTTTTCGATCCCCTCACCTTCCACTTCGATCCTATTTGTGTCTCCATGTGTGTTTCCATCACTTTCTTGGTTAATTGTGCAGAATTGGATCTAGGGTTTTTAGGCGAGGAGAATTGGGAATTTGTGTATGAATGATGAAATTAGGCAATGGAAACATTAAATAACGACTAATTGCATGTCACTAAAGTGTTTGATTGGATGATTGAGCCTTGGTGGGCAAGATTTTTGCATGATATGATGTTTGAATTAGAAATGCCCACCAAGCTTGTGCTTTGAATATGTAACCTTGATACACTTTTGGTGCATGTCGAATGATGGCCATCGGGGCATGATATAGGATTGTATTTGTAGCTTTGATGATCTATGACACACCTAGTTTTATGTCCCAGTGTGCTTGTGGGTTCATTGAGCTTAAATGTTGGTCATCCGGCCTTGTGAAGAGCCTATGAAGGCATGTTGCATATGTTGGAACCTAAGTGTGAGGGAGTTGGTCTTCTCCCCATTGGGATTGTCTAATGATTGTTTCCACGTACGATGCATGTTGTTTGGTTAGTTTGCAGAATGGTTGACCCAATGCATCATAATATCAACTATTTGGTGGATCACCCTGTCTATGTGTCAAACTATGAGATGTGGCGAAACGGGGATATAGTGCCCCATTGGCGCCTCGACTTGGAAATGTTTGACATGTACTAATGCCAAACTAAGATCTCAGCAGCTATCGCACATCCCTAGTGGCACATTCTTCTCAGCCTGGATGATCGCATATACCGAGAGCTATGCTCGGAGTTTTGTCCACCTTTGTGCACGAGCAGCTCCGAGGCCGGCGTGCCGAGCCTTATGTCGAGTTCATGTTGGTAGGATATTTTGTACTAAATCGTTGTTTAACCATGGTTGAACATTTTTATGCCACTAAAATCTTGTTATGTTTCAGATCCGGTGCCTGGTATTCCTAGTCTGACTAGATGATAGGGTATTATTTCTAAAACATTGCTTTTGACTTTACTTTTTCCTTTCCCCATATGAGATCTTGTTTTTCTCTCGGGGGAGTTTTTCTTTCCATTTATGGGTTTGTCTTCACCTTGTGGGATCATTTCTCTCAATCAGATATTTCATTCTTAGATCTTTGTGAAATCTTTCATACTTTGGTTCTAGTTTTTCATATCTTTTGTGGAGTTACTAAGAGATCTGTGAATTTTTACTTTCCATCAATCCTCCTACTCTTTGGCTTGTTGATCCTCCTCCTTGCTTCACTCATATGTTGGTTGTGATTTGGAGAAGACATGGGCTGTTATGCTTGTGGATATGAATGTTAAGGAGAATTGGAAGCAAGGAAGGATCTTTTCATTTGTCGTTGGTATTTTGGTCCTTTTTCCCAACGTGGACCTCTCGTGGTGTCGTCTTGCTTCTCCTAGATTTTTCATCATGACGATCTCTTCACGGTTTCTTGGCGTGCTTTCGGTGAGTAATGATTTCGGGACTATGCTTCGTGGGTTCCGACCCTCACGAAAGGGAGTTGTTCGATGGCGACAACTTTTATGAGGGTGTGTTAGGAATGATAGAGTTTGTTAGTGAATAGGCTGATTGCTTAAGTTGTGGGTTGGAATGAGGATATCTTCTATAGGCTTATTGTTTTGACCTTTTCCTCACTTATTTGGATTATTTGCTACTTTGTAACATATTTGGTTTTATTACCCATAATCTATCAAATTAGGGCCCTTTTTGTCTGAAAAAACACTTTATAGGGTGACTAGACCTAGTTGCTTTGAAATAATTTATTTGGTTAAAGTTTTGTTTTCTCTTTTATTATGTTTCTAAGCAGAACGTTTTAGTAAACCGACATTGATATTGATTTTTTCCAGCGACTAAACTTGACATGTTTTAGTAAACCCAATAACATATTTATAGCCATACTCGTAACATCCAACAACTAGCACATTCGAAGCGGCCAACCAATCAATGATGTTAAAACTAAATAAACATTATGACCTTTACCTAATTATTTATGAAGGAGCAAATCTTCTTCCCCAAAAAGTAGAGGTGGCAATTAGGATCCAAATCCATGAATCCAATCCATTTGATCCAAATCCAATTCAATTGGTGGATTAATGGATCAATCCATGAATCCAAATGACAAATTATGATTTGGTATCTATATTTTTTATATTTTACATTTTGGTACCTAAAACTTAAATTTTATACGAAAATATCATTGGAATGTCATTTGGATTCATAAACAAATCCACCAATCCATTTGATCCAATCCATGAATCCACCAACCCATTGGATCCAATCCATTTGATCCATGGATCTACCAATCCAATCCACCAACCCATGAATCCAATCCATTTGCCACCTCTACAAAAAAATGCAGCATTTTCACAACCAGCATTCCACAAGTGGAAGACATGCTGCTCACCTTCAGCCTCCACCGTCTCAACCTTTCCTTCCCACTCGCTCGCCTTCAACAACTCGCAGTAATACTTCCCTCTCTCCCTCAATAAATCCTTCCCCGCCAACATACCAAGCACCTTCGAACACCCCAACCGGGCCATGTCCGGGTCGAAAGCCGGGTTCAAATACGGGTCATCCAGCCCTTCCGTTGAAGTCGGGCAATCTAGCTTCCAGAACCGCTTCCTCCAAAGATGTATCGAAACCGGCTCGGACCCAATCGGTTCATTCTCGCAAATATAGGGATGGACCAGAACCAGCCTGGCTAGCCGCGGGAACCCATTGACTTTTTCCTACCCATACCTTATTGCCACTCGGTGGACTATGTTGGCCCCTGCGCTGTTCCCTACCAGAAACACAGAGCTACAGTCCGCATGATCGTTGAGCCATTGCTCTGGGCCGCCTCCATCGGAATGAGAGGCGACCCATTTGAGGGCGTCGTAGGCGATTGCTACGGGGTTCTCGGTGGCTGTCCACAGAAACCGCTATCAGGTTGGCCACCTCGACCAAGGTGTTGAGGTAGGCGGGGAAGAAGGCCGTGATAGTAGATCAAGAGAGGGAGCTTCTGGCCCGGATTGGTTTGGTTGGGTGGTAGAGCCTGGAGACAAGATTGATGTCGTGGGAGTAAGGGACGTCTTTGGTTTGGGGTTGTCTAGAGAGGCTGGCATGGTTTGAGTGCCATGAGGCGCTCTACGATGCCATTTTTGTAGATGCGGAGGAAAGGAGGGAAGTCTTGAGTGCTTTCAAGATTGGTTGAAGAAGAATTGGCCATGGCGGATTGGATTATGTGAATGGTGTGTATTGTGTTGATGGAAAGCTGATGGGTGACGGCGTCTTGGGTCGAGCCCATTCGTATTAATAATAATATTATTTTATTATTATTATTTGTTGAAATATTCGTTTATTATTCGGATTATTCGTATCAGTTCGGGTCTAGGATTATTATTATTGTGTCTTGTCGAGGAAGTTATCGTTTACTTTTTGTTTTAGGTTAGGGTTTTCTTGTCCAAAGAGGGAAGGGTTTGTAGGATTAGTCCTATAAATATGTACCTTTGCTCTTCGGTTTATGCATTCGATCAATAAAGTATTAGTAGTTAGTAGAGAAAGGTAGCTCTTTTATCGTGTTTTCTAGTTCTTTCGCTAAATCGCTCGAGATCACTGATGCGTGAAATCCCGTCATGCATCAATTGGTATCAGAGCCTGGTTCCGAGTGAACCAAGCCATGAGACCATGCCACCGCGTAAGTAGCCAACGACACCATCATCACCAACCGCCGCCGGCGACGAGGAGCTAGCGCACCAATTCCAAGCTCTCGCCGGTCATCAACAGGTGATCGTGGCAAGCATGTAAGCTCAAGATGCCATTAACCGTGACCACGAAGCTGCTCTGGAACTCCTGCGCGTCGACATAGGGCAACTCCAGCGCGGGCAGGAGAAGTTGCAGGAGGGGTAAGATCGTCTGACGGGGGAGATCCATGTGGTTCGCGTTGAGCAAGGACGGCTCGCCAACGACGTTAGCTCAATCTTGGCAATTCTTCAGGATCAACCATGGGGGAGGAAGGTGACCGAGTTTCCATGAAAGCGGAACCGCGTCACTGGCCACACTACCGACTAGGTCCCGCCGGCGGAGAAATTGAAGGGGGTCGCTGGGGATATGGAGCTCCATTCGCCTGCAAGCTAGAGTTCGACGTAGACGATGGAAACGAAGCTTGGAGTGACAGACGAAGCGTCGCCGGCAGTATAGGGCGCGACGGAGGGATCGGTTGCGGGATTCCCGTCAGAGCTGGCTGGGGAAACCTCGCCGTCGACAGCGAGGAGGAGCATGTCATCACCCAAGGGGGGAGGCCACCGACTGGGCCAACTTCTGAGCCCACCAACCGCGGTGGAGCACTTCGTGGGCTTGGGCCCAACATGGGTGGCTTGATTGGGACGCTTCTCTACGGGGTTGGCCAAGGAGCGAACGAGGAAGGACAAACTGAAGGAAGGCCAACTGAGCCGGGGGTGGCTGCTAGTGGGCCGGTGGGGTCGAGAGCATACGGGCCGGGTCTTCAGCGAAGTGGGCCGAGTCATCAAATGTCGTCGGGTGGGCTAGGAGTGCAGGAGCTGCGGCAGGGGCAAGCTGGGAAGAGCCGAGACCACCGTTCAAGCCGGGAAAACAGAGATGGTGCGAGCCAGTTGTGGGCTGAAACCAAACCCACGGACCGGGCGGGCCTTACTCGGGTGGCCAAGATACGCAAGGAGGAGTTGCGTTTGGAGCAGGCCCTAACCCGCAAACCACTGGCGAAACATATCGACTGGCCAAGATACGCGAGGAGGAGTTGCGTTTGGAGCGCGGACCGGCGAAGAGCGCACTGCGGGCTGCCACGGCGTCTGCCGACGTGGCCTTGGAGCCACCACCAGCTGCTCTGCTGACTGCTCCAATTCTGGGGCGAGCTCTACCACCTCCGCCAAGGCGCATCATCCGCAACTTATCGCCGGAGGAAGCTGCTAGACGTCGTCGCGACGGATTGTGCTATAACTGCGACGAGAGGTTCACGTATGGGCATCGCTACGCCAACGAGAACGTTTTCGTCATGATCGGCGACTTTAAGGCAGAAGAAAAAGGAGGAGCGCGAAAGCGGAAGGCAACTTCGAGGACGAAGTTGTAAAAGGGGGGAGGATTGATGGATGACAACGTCTTGGGCCGAGCCCATTCGTATTATTATTATTTGTTGGGATATTCGATTATTATTCGGGTTGTTCATATTAGTTTTGGTCTAGGATTATTATTGTGTCTTGTCTACGAAGTTATCGTTTACTTGTTGTTTTAGGTTTGGGTTTCCTTGTCTAAAGAGGTAAGGGTTTGTAGGATTAGTCCTATAAATATACCTTTTCTCTTCGGTTTATGCATTCGATCAATAAAGTATTAGTATTTAGTAGAGAAAAGTAGCTCTTTAATCGTGTTTTCTAGTTCTTTTGCTTAATCGCTCGAGATCACCGGTGCGTGAAATCCCGTCACGCATCAAAAGCCCTTTGAATATATGAAGAAACGAGGGTATGGAAATAGGGGTGGCAGTTCGGTTTCCGATTAGCGGCTAACCGGCGGTTTTAACTACTAACCGCGGCTAGCCACTAACTGAAAATCGATTGGTTATTAGTCGCGGTAGGTGTTCGACAAGGGTGAAGGGTTCTTCGGTTAGCCGAGTAACCGAAGGCGGTTAACCGCCTAACCGACCCACAACCAAAATGTAAATAAGAGGAGGAATAAAAGCATGCACTGAATCCAATTAACCTTTCCCCTCCCCATCTGGTTCAAGACGAACCCTAAATCCCACAAATGAAAAATTGCCGAACCCACTTCTCCCCGCGCCGCGCCTCCGTCCCAGACCAGTCGGTCGTCCGCCTCCGTCGTCACACTCAATCGCCGCCGCACTCGTCCACCTCCGCCTTCACGCTCGATTGCCACTAGGGATGGCAACGCAACGGATCGGGCCCGGGTACACTGTATCCGCCCCCGCCCATCATGGACTTCGGGTTTCCCCGTCCCCGGCCCAAACGGTGAAACAAGTTTGGTAGTGATACCAACCCCATTACCGATGTGTTTTCGGGTGCCCGCGGGTCGAATATACCCACTACAATACAATAAAAATATTAATATATGAAAAAACATGAAAATAATACTTTATTCAGAATAAATTATAGTTTGAAACTCTAAATTCTGAAATTATCAGCAACAAGATGTCACAAACTCAACAAAGTTGCAATCAACAACAACTTTAAATCATCCGAACTTGAAAAAAATAATCAACTCTCAGCACCATGACTGCCGAGTCTTATTCGAAAGCAAGAACAACTAGCTGACTAAGGTAGAACAAACTCCAAGGCATCCTAACAGTTGAGAGCAAATGTAACAGCAGCCTTCCTTCGAGCAAGATGCAGCCATCAACTTTAAGGATCGCTAACTTTTGCTGAGTCTTATTCCAAAGCAAGTAGCAGCAGTCAACATTCATCAAATGCATGTATGCACAAACATTCAAGTAAACATTCTTAAGTTCCTAAGCCTAAAAATTAACAACCTCGAGGTTCTTGTGACAAGATAAGATGATTTGAACTTATACCTGGCTCGACAGATGCAAATGGATCGGTCTTCCTGTCCAAATGGTGATTTCAAGAACACCATTTCAGGACCTAAAAAACAGGTTGTAAATCATTATGTCGAGCCTCAAATCTCAATGAAAAGTTGAACAGAGTTAGAAAATTTAGAAAGGGAGAAGTGCTTTTCTTACCCCCAGGTTCTGCCTCCTCCACAGTCATATCGTCGACTGACAGGGCCGAGAAGACTCCCTCCAATGCCTCCACAGTAGCAGCAACCTTCGAATTTGCAGATAGAAATGAAAAATTATTATTTACACTTAAACAAAATTACTTGTACCAGAATTTGGAGGTTTAGTTGCATGTTACCTCTTTGCATGTCTTCCATTATCTAGCTTCGTGTGCACATCATTGATTCTACAGTCGAGTAATGAAGCCTGCTCCAGTGAGGGTCTAACAACCTCCCACTAGAACTGAATGTACTTTCAGAAACAACAGATGTAATTGGGATTGCCAAAAAGTCCCTTGCAATTGCTTGCAAGGTTGGATTTTTGAGACCATTCATTTTCCACCACAAGAGCATATCAAAGTCTGTTGTCCGAGGAATTATATCCTCAACAAGATACATATCCAACTCAGTAATAACCAAAGAACTCTTTCTCTTTTTCCTTTGACTTATAAAGAGCTCAAAGTCAAGTTCCGTAGCCGAGACAGAACCAGAACTAGTAGAAGAAGTTCCCGTTTCAGACCCAGACTTCTTCTCGACTTTGGTTTGATAATCAAGAATCAAACCACAAATAATCTTCTTGATATTCTCAGCAACCAAATCAGTTTCCGTATTCCCAAACTTTCCAGCATAGTATTCAATCACATGGAGCTTATATCTAGGATCTAAAACAACCGAGACAGCAAGTACAACATGGATATCATCTCAGTACTTATCAAACTTCTCAGACATTTGACTGGCCATTCCAAAAATCACAGGGTTGGGATCAAGACCCCACTCATTCAGTTTCAGTCTCAAGTCACAAATCTTTGGGAAGAAAAGATTGACAGTAGGATACTTGGAACCAGAGAATTACTGAGTTATCTCAGAGAATATTTCCAACTTATCAATCACAACAGATGCAAATTCCCTATGAGAACTAGAAGGAACATATGTGTATTGACTGTCCCTCAAGCTCAACCGAAAGAAAACATCCTTATATTGAAGAGCAACAGAGAGCATATGGTATGTGGAATTCCATCTAGTTGGACAATCAATTACCAGTTTTTTCTCAAAGGTCAACTTTAGTTGCTTAACAACTTCGAAGAAGGTTTGAACCCTCTTAGGTGTAGAATTCGAGTATACTATACTCTCCCTAATCAAATGTATAACATCTTTGATTGCATCCAAACCCTCCCTCACAATCAGGTTCAGAATATGAGCTGAACACCTTATATGAATCAGTTTACCATCAAGCAACAGATCACTGGTCACAAGCTTATTTCTCATATGAAATATCATTGAATCATTGGTGGTACAGTTGTCCAGTGTGATTGAGGACAACTTACCATCAATGTTCCAATCAAGAAGACAATCAAACAACCTATCAGTTAGTCTTTGACTAGTGTGAGGGGCTAGAACATACATAAACCTCAACATTATGTTACGAAGCTTCCAAGAGTTGTCAATAAAGTGACCAGTTACTGCCATATACCCCATTTTCTAATTTGTGGCAGTCCACAAATCAGTAGTCACTGAAACCCTCCCCAAGTTTCTATCGATCATTGTCTGATATTTAGACCTTTCAACCCCAAACAGACCCAAAATATCCTTTTTCGCCGTGTTTCTACTAGGGACAACAAATTAAGGTTGAAGAGAACAGCAAAAACGTTTGAAACCCACATGATCAACAAGGCTAAGGGGGTAATCATAGACCAGAATCATTGAATAAAGTTCCTTCCTAGAAACCTCATAATTGTATTGAGAAGCAGAGAGTTGAGGATTTCCGGCAGGTTGATAGTTAGGGCCAAGTATTTTTTGAGAGCCATCATGTATCCTCTTTTGAATACATGTTTTGATATGGCTTCTCATGTGTGAAGTTCCATTACTTGTTTCCCCACTAAGGGATTTAAGACAGTACTTACACCTAGCCTTCATAACCCCATTAACCATAACTCGGTTGAAGTGAGGCCACACATTAGAGGTTAACTTTTGTTGAGCTTCAAGCTCCTCAACATTAACATTAACTGGATTAATTGCATCAGGACCTGGTTGTTCAGGTTGAGGTTGGACACCATTTTCAGGGACATTCACATTGGAATTGAGAGTAGGGTCAACATTCATAGTAGTAGGCGCACCTTCCATCTGAACAGAATAAATTTTTGTGTTACTAATTAAGCCTTATTTAACTTAGCAAACAAACAATAACAAGACTAAACTAGCAAACAAACATCTTTTGCAGCAAATTCACGATTACAGTTTAATTCTTTTTACTTATTAGCATTATGAATCCACTGATTGTCACAACAAGTCGCACCATTATGAACAAACACAGTGAGTTGAGGCTTAGGAGATGAGGACGGGATTACCTTCTTGGATTGGAGTTTTCAATGGACTATCGAGTACCCAATGACAGTTGACTGATCCTCACTGATCACTCACTCTGTTCCACTTCAGTTCTTGAAACCCGATCCAAACGAGATAAACCTAGCCCAAAAAAGAGTGAACAACAAACACAAATCAAGTTAGAACTGGAATTCAATGCATGCATGTATGTATTGACACCACTAACCCATAAAAAGTATAGACGAGATCAAGATCCTTACCCTCGACGACTGGACTATGTATGGAGGCTCGACTAAATCCCTCGGTCTCTGCTCTCTGTGGAATGGGGTGTTCTTGTTCTCGATTTCAGAAGATGGCGTGGTGAGAAACGACCTCTGTGCTCTGAATCCCCCTATATATACTAGTACAAGAAGAGTCAATAGAGAGTTTGGGGAACGGGGAATCAGGGAAGATACTTGAAAGAAAATATAAGAAACCCATAATTAACTTATCTCTTCTCGAAGAATCAGCGATTTGAACTTTCAACTACTCGTTTTTGGACTGCGGTCGATGAAATCTTCGTCGGATGGTTGCTCTTCCAGCCATGCGATTAGTCGAGTGGAGGAATTGTTGAGGGGAAAAGGCGAAAAATCGTCCAGATCTCGATTATCTAGCTATATGATCCCTAATTGCCAGAGAGGAGGCAGAGAGAAAGAAGGAAACTAGGGTTTCTGATTTTTGGATCGTTTGGTGAAGAATGAAATCTGAGACGGCTGCTAGGGTTTCTGGAAGGGAAAGTGAAGTATATATATGGTCCTCCAAACGACGTCGTTTTTGTACACGGATAACCCGTCGGGCGGGTCGTGGGGCGGATACTGGACGAACCACAATTGCCCAAAAACCATGGTTGACGGGTCCCGGGTTACCGGCCACCCGTTAACGGGCCAGAGACAACAACCCACTTGGGCCCTTATCGGGCGGGTATCCGCTATCGGGCCCCGGCCTGCCATCCCTAATTGCCGCCACGCTCGTCCTCCTCCGTCCCTTCGCGTCGCGCAGGCGAGCACCTCCTCTACCCAGGCCCTTCGTCGCCTCCGTCCTGTCAAGCAGTGTCGCTCGTTCCCAGAAAATCAATAGAGAAGGCGAGCGCCTCCTCTCCCCGCGTTCATCACCTCCGCCTCCTTCGCGTCGACGGGTTCCTGTCGCGCTTCCATTCCCCTGCGATTGCTGCTTCTTCCTATTTAAAATGGAGAGAAGGAAGGAGAGAAGGAACAGATCTAAAATGTGGAGAGAAGGAAGGAGAGAAATAGCTGTTGTTGTGGCATATGAGGAAGACGCCCAATGACTTTTGTTTTGTGAGTTTTTTTTCTTTTAATGAATTAAACGCTAGCGTTTCGGGTAAGTTTTTTGGTATGCGACTAACCGAGCCTAAAACTGAAACTGGCCGGTCGGTTGGCCGATTAACCACATCTCCCTCACGGTGAGTTGCCAGCAGCCCTTAAGGGTGGCTCGGTTTAACCGATAACAAACTTTCAAGTAATGTCACCAAAAAATTAAATGAGATTGACAAGACGTGAAATCAAAGAAGATTTATTTCATGTTAGGGTCACTATACTATTTATAATACTACACATTTCCAATTTACTTCATTTTTATGTCGTTGATGGCAAAGCAATAAAAAAATGTTCAATCAGAAATTTTGCTGTAATTTCTGACGACATGGGGTAAATAAAACTATTGTTTTCTAAAGTTCTATAAGAGTTCATTTCATTGCCTAAGTTTTTTACTTTTCTTAGGGACTCTCATTAATGAATCGATTAGAATGTTGGAAACCTCTGCATGCAGTCTAGGTTTTATTTTGTGATTATAAAATAATTTAAATTTTACTTTATAATACCAAAAATATTGTATGTTACTTCACACCATTGCTTTTGTTGATTATGTTTTTGATAGAAATGTATCCGGCCCGCCCGAATCTACTTGAATTAAAGAAAAGAGCCGAGATTGGATTGGCTACTTTTTGTTGGGTGTGTAGTAGTTGCTACTTGCTAGTAGGTTTGGTGTCAACGTCAAAGTCGACAGAGCCCAATTCACTTTCTGTAACATTGAGCGACAAAACCGATACCCAAAAGAATATTTTACGGACTGATCTGATACCGTCAGGCAGCGAGCAAGTCTTAGCTACCCTAGCATAACCATGTCTAAGATCACCACCACATCAAGAGTGCCTTCCAACTTGACTATTCCATCAGCCGATTATCTTTACCTCGCCCGCCGCCACAATTTCCAGCGTCACTGTCTCACCACTCCCTGAAACCAGCTCTATCCTGCACATTCCATTCCATGCATAGGTGTTCTCATTCCAAATTGATAAGGTGTGGCTGCAGCCAAACATACATGAACGCAAACATTCATGCATGTCTATAACACATTTAAGGGAGCGATGGTATAGATTAAGGAGTGCATTCACCAAGTATATATAGCTAGCTACTTACCATTAGCATCTCCCATGGGAGATGTACAATGGAGTCCGAGAAGGATGCATTGGGGTCTCACTTCCGACGCCATATCGACTAGAATCACTGACAAAAAAAAAAAAAACATACTTACAAAGAAGTCCAGCATGATTCAATAATCGAGAGAAGAAAGGCGCACTAATGATTTAAGTAAAGCATGCCAGCATTTTCACCGGTATGGTGCTGTATCCGCCACATTGTTTGAGATATCATTCCGATCAACTGCACAAGAACAATATCCACAAAGGTGAAACACTAGTTTCTATATACAAAACAAAAAACAGGGGAAAAAAACAGGGCAATCCTAATTGCAACATGATGCTCTACTTGCCTGTGACCACCTTCATTTGAGCCTCTAACTCAACTCTCACTGAATGACCCTTCATTCCCTTTACTCGCCCACGCTCTCCCTTGAAAGCACCCCGTCGTATTTTGATTGTGCTACCTATCAACCCACCTTGTCCTCCCTTTCTGCCTCCATTCCTTCCAATAGATAAGTAAGACAATGATTAAATTGAACCCAAAAAAAAACAAAAAAAATCCATCAACGAAAACTGCTTACTGCAGCGCCACAAGATCACGATGCTCATAATCTCCAATTTTGGTAACACCACCACCACTAGCCACCTCCGAGCATTCAACCACATCCCCAGCAAATACATGAATCTATACAAAGAAGAGACAGACAGACAGACAGACAGACAGACAGAGTTTCTCAACAATAATCAAGACATTAGCAGGGGCACATGTTGATCAAGGAACTAATTAGAGAGAAACTTACATGTTCCTTTGTTGTATCCGACAGAATAATGACCACATGTTGATCAACCTTGACAACCATACCAGTTGCACCTTTTCGAGTTCCAGACACAACCTTGACATGATTGCCCGGTTCAAAATACTTGCCGAGGTCCTTCTCATGCACTGTAAGTGTTCTCTAGAATGAAAATAATATAAGTTAATTAGCTAATCCTCAACAAATTAAAAATGACAACTCCCAAGAATAAAGCATAAAAACACAGCCTTGCCATGTTAACTTACAGGTAGGCCCTTCGCTTCAGGTCTGATATGTACACTATCTGCCTCAACTTTCTCAACCCGTCCCTTAAGGTTCTTTAAATCACCTTTGAGAACAATGACTGCATCACCCTTCAAATATTGTTCTTTCTTCCGGTTTCCAGATAAGGCTGACAAGCTGATCATCCTATCATCATCACAGTGTTCTCCGGGTTTACCGAACTTTTCAAGTTCATCAAAAGATGGCCTGATGTTTGCAGCAGTAATGCATTTCATCGCAACACTTTTGTACAGGAAACCATCACTGAACAATTTGCCATCCATCTTCTCAAAGTAGTCGCCGGTCAATGGATCTCTTTTCCGCTCCACGTGAATATTAAGTTCCCTAACAAAAAGGTTATGAGATAAGAAGCATGCTGACAGAGTTTCCTTGATGGCAAGGACACCAGGTTCAGTATTACCTAGCCTCGTTGATATTCATAAAGCGAGGATGAGGAGCAATTGCCTTCCTGGATTCCCCGGCTTCTCGTCCTTCCTGTTTAAGAAATATTTACTCGTAACTATGCTAAGCACACAATTTAATCACACTAACTACATAATCCAAAGCAAACTGCAGTATCCACAATACTATCAAGACACAGTTTGTCTAGGAAGAAACATCTCTTCTCAAACTACGAACACGATTACAAAATTTAATCAAAGAACAATTGGTAATTCATCCAAGAATAGCCAAAAAAGATATACTTAAGCCAGTAAATACATGGAGGAAATTCTGTACCAGTCTAGTAGCAATAGCCTGCATGTCAATTCTGGGAATCACCTTCACTGTGACTTTCCGTCGCACATTATCCACGTCAACTACCTGAAGAAGTGGGAAAACAAAAGGTTATTTGAGAAATCCACGAAAAGAAGGCCTGAGTGAGGTTACAACACATACTTTGGCTAAGTCCCCTTTGTAAATTCCTGTCTTGATTCTGACCCAAGTATCCCTTGCAAGATCAACTTCTTTGCTTTCAACAGAAAGGACGTCTGTCATTTCTTTGATTGGGACGAGCTGGGGTTTCTGAGAAAAATATACATTCCGAAGCCCTTTGCATGCCTGAAACATACAATACACAGAAGCAGAAAAATGCATATTTTTAAACAAAAAGGATCAATGTGCCGAAAATCGTCCAAATGGAGTAAGAATTGATAAATGGATAATATCATTGCAAATTGCAATACCTCTCTCACATGTGATTCTTTATGTGCTTCAACATATATATAATTCTCCAGGTGATCACGGGTAATAACAGATGTGATTTGCAACTGATCAGGACCTCTATCAATGGACTTCTGCATGAGGCAGACAGCCATCTCTCGCTCACGTCCAGCCTAATATATATCAGAACTCCATACTGTTATAGGAAAAAACAAGACAGAACAATCGACAAAGAGCACAGAAGAACATAAAAGCATACCACACATTTCACCCTCCAAAACTTTGCATCGTGTACAGAAGGCAAGAGAGCCTGTTGGCCTATCCCTGTTGCCTCTTCATCACTTTCACGTCGAGATGCTCTCGAATATCTTTCCTCGAGTCTTCTGACAATTTCATACTCGTCTTCTGGCTCGTGCAATGGCCTTTGGTGAACCCGTCTGCCATCATCTTCCTCGGGTAGTTCCAGTCCACCATAATCAATAAAGTCTGCATCCACACAAAAGATGATATTAAGTTGAGAATGTACTATCAACAATCCTGTATTTTTATGCTACGAGCCTCCACCAATCTTATTTGGTGTTCGTTGTTCACACCAATTGTAATGGTAATTTCACCAAATCACAAGTATGCTCGACTATTCACCGAAGCGACAAGATTAGAGAAATTGTAGACCGACGGAAAGTTCATCATCAAACCCCTAATTCAACAGAGCCTAAAATTCTAACATTCCAAACAACGAGAAAAAAACACTAAAATAGCGAGGCGAAAGAAAGAAAAGTGGGAAAATAAAATTCGCACCGACCCTATGAGAAACCCTAGCACATGCTTACCTTCTCCTCCATCGGCTTCCTCCTCTTCATCTTCATCTTCGTCGCCATCCTCAACGGCCTGAGTTTCAAAGAAACACTCACCCTTCCTTCTAGAATTTCGCCTTTTGCTCCGACTACCACCTCCTCCATAGTCCTCATCATCATCGTCTTCCTCGTTGTCCTCCACCGCGGCGTCGTCAATGAAACTAGATCGCGATCGCTTTCTGGTAGAGTTTCCTCGCTTCGTCATATATTCATAATACTCTTCTTCTCCATCGTCAATCAGTTGGTCATCTTCCTCCTCGTATTCTCCATCTTGAATCTCGTCGGGTTCTTCGACTCTTCTCCGCCGCATAGCTTTGCCGGTACACAACTTCCTCTTTCTGGCAAAATTTCGCTTCCCCTCGCAAAAACTTCCTTGCTAGCACCAACAGCACTCTGCTGCGGTGGAAGAATTCTCGATTGTGGGATCATCGGGTCGATCGAAGGCGGCATTTATACCCTGCGTGTGAGCTGAAGTCAGGGCTGCAGGCTGACTTGAATCCGAATTGGAGAAGGAGAAGGAGTAGAGTCACACAGCGGGAAAGTCTGATCATTTGAATAAAGGAACCAAAACGGTGTCGTTTGGTTTAAGAGTCTGGTTGATAGGTTTCATGGTATTGTTTAGGGGTGGGCATCGGTTCGGTTCAAACCAAACCGAAATTGAATATACCGGGTCCCCGAAAGTGGCTACCGAAATCGAACCGAAATTTAAGTCGGTTCGGTTCATCCGACCCGAATTAAATACCGGTTTGGTTCGGTTTTAACACAAACCCAAAGAGTTATAAACCACCGCACTTTCTCTCTCTCTCCCATACACCCAAACCCTCATGTCTCTCCATTTCTCCCTCTCTCTCCCCACTCCAACAAACGCAATCGATGTAGATCAGAAAGCGACGATGCTGCGGTGGAATATCCTCCATCTCGTGACTCATCGGTGAGCAGAAATAGCAGGCTGCGACGGCGGTATCTCCTCCGACTCGCGACTCGGCGGCGAGCAGAACGCAGCGGTGGTATCTACTCCGTCTCGTGACTCAGCGGCGAGCAGAAACAGCGAGCTGCGGCGGTGGTATCTCCTCCGACTCGCGACTCGGCGGCGAACAGAAAGTAGCGGTGCTACGGTGGTACGACGCAGCGGCAGGCGGGTACGACAATTGAATGTTAGAGGTCAGTATGGTTGTAGATCCAAGCATGCATGTCGTTTTTCTGTTTGATTTTCACCTTCGAGTTTCAGTAGCATTGTCGCTCTTTCGATTCAGGAGTAGAAAGCTTGGATTTTGGAGAAGAAAGTTTTGATTTTCAATATTGATTTTGATGCATTTGGGGTTCTATATTTGGATTTGGGTTTTTTTTATCTCATGGAGGAGAAGGGAGCAGAGAGAGGGGAAATGGCATCTATGTTCTAGTGGCCGGTGACTGTGAGGATGAGTTGGTGGCAAAGCCAGCGGATGAGAGGAGGATTCGGCGGACGGCGGTGATGTTGGATGATCGTTGGCGGCTTGGGTCAAGGATTTGGTGTTCTTTGTTAGGGTTAGGTTAGTAGTAGGGATGGAGAAGTGGGCTTAAGGGATTAATTTTGGGCTTTGTTTGATTTGGGCTGTGAGGGATTTGTGTTTTATTTGGGCTGTGAAAGAATTGGGCTTTGTGAGAGGTTGTGTAGTCAGTTGGGTTGTAGTATTGTGGGTTAAATTTTATGTTCGGTTTCTCGGTTCGGTTGTTCGGAATTCGGTTTCGGTCTGCATACACCTGGTTTCCGAAACAAATGGTTTTGGCTTCCGAATTCCGAACCGAACAACAATAATTCGGTTTCGGTTCGGTTCAATTCGGTTCGGTTCGGTTCGGGTTTACCGAACCGGATGCCCAACCCTAGTATTGTTTCAGTATAGTGATTTGATGTTTTTGTTTAGAGTCATTTGAGTTCAGTTCGGGTTTGAATTAGTTGCAGGTCGTTGGGATAAACAGCTGATTAGTAGGGTTGTTAGTTGAATCATGGGGCACGAATCAAGGGACTAGGGGTTAGTGGAGATGTATGGTGGTCGATGTCAAAGGCTAAGTCATTGTATTTATCCTTCTTTGATTCAGATCAATAAACTTTGTCAGTTTGCCCCATAAGAGTTTACATTGTGGTAACAGAGCTCTGCAAACTGTAACCTGAGATTGAGTGTTGTGTGAAAAGTTCCGCAGATCAGGGTAGGGAACACATGAGTGATCAAGGGAGAATCATAACCTGGATGTAGAGTGAAAGCTCAATAGAGTTTGAGCAGAGAGATTCTATAGAGATGAGTGACAATGGAGGTTTTGCTGCTGTGGGCATACCCAAGTTCGATAGTGACTATGACCACTGGAGCTTGGTGATGGAGAACCTGTTGAGATCAAAAGAATACTGGGGAGTTGTTAGTGAAGGATTTACAGAACCTTCGGCCACTGAGGTTTTGTCTGCTGTACAAACCAAAAGCTTGGAAGACCTCAGGCTGAAGGATCTGAAAGCCAAAATTACCTTTTCAGCTTCATTGATCGAGCCATCCTCAAAACCATCACCAACAAGCGGACTGCCAAAGAACTATGGGATGCCATGAAAACCAAGTATCGAGGAGAAGTTTTGAACTGCTCAAAATGAAGGAAGGTGATACTATAACTGATTATTTTGGTAGAGTGATGGTGGTAGCAAATTCAATGAGAAACTGTGGAGACAACTTGACAGATGTGCATATAGTTGAGAAAATTCTCAGAACACTAATTGAGAAATTCAACTATGTGGTATGTTCTATAGAAGAATCCAAAGATATAGAAACCCTGTATGTTGATGCTCTACTGAGTTCTCTAGTTGTTCATGAACAAAAATTCCAAAAGAAGAGTAGACTGAGGAAGAGCTGGCTCTTAGGATGAACTTTGAATCTAGAGGTAGAGGAGGTAGAGGTCCAGGACGTGGAGGTTCTTATCAAAGACGAGGAAGAGGAAGAGGCTTGAATAAGGCAAATGTGCAGTGTTTCAGGTGTCCTAGATTGGGATACTTCCAGTATGAGTGTCCAGATTGGCACAACATTGGTCAAGCTAACTACACCAACACATATCAAGGCCAAGGCAGCACTGAAGTATACATGAAGGAGGATGTGCTTCTCATGGCTCATATGGAGGTTGTGAAGACTGAAAGTCCAAGAAACACAAAAGCAATCAGGTGGTTTGTTGACTCAGGTTATAGTAATCATATGACAGGGAACATGAACGGGTTCACTGATCTTGACACTAACTATAAGGGAAGTGTCAGATTGGGAAATGATAAAAAACTAGATGCTGTGGGAAATAGGACTGTGAAGCTGACTATGGATCAGTTCACTCTCACCATTCAAGATGTGTTCTATGTACCAGAGCTCAGTACTAACCTACGGAGTGTAGGTCAACTGCAAGAGAAGAACCTGATCTTTGTCATTCAAGATGGTGGCTTCAAGGTGTATCACAAAGGGAGGGGATTACTGTTGGAGACTACACTGAAGTCAAATCGCATGTATGTGATACATGCCAATCCAGTAGTTAAAGAAAACAACCATCTGATGCACTGCTTCCATACAAGAACCAACAGTGAGACCTCACTGGAGTTGTGGCATAGAAGATTTGGCCATTTGAACTCGGCTGCCATCCTTCAGCTGCAGAAGAAGAACTTGGTTCAGGACTTGCCAACTCTGCAAGGAACTATTGGAGTATGCTCCACCTGCATGATTGGCAAACAACATCGAAATCCATTTCCAAAGAAGAGCAGCAGGAGAGCTACACAGAAACTGCAGTTGGTCCCTGCTGATTTGTGTGGGCCAATCACCCCAACTTCAAATGGAGGTAAAAGATACATATTTACCTTCACTGACAATTACAGTAGAAAATTGTGGGTCTATTTCTTGAATGCCAAGTCTGAAACCTTAGAGAAATTTAAGAAATTCAAAGTACAAGTTGAGAAAGAAACTGGTTTGTCACTTATTTGTATGAGAACAGATAGGGGAGGGGAGTTTATGCTTTAGGAGTTTAGAGATTTATGTGAAAAGGAAGGAATCAGGAGGCAGTTGACAACAACTCTTACTCATCAGCAGAATGGAGTAGTTGAGAGAGAAAAAAATAGAACAACAATGAATATGGTCAGATGTATGCTTGAAGATAGAAGGGTACCCGCTGAATTCTGGCCTGGGGCAGTGGCTTGGACTTCTCATGTATTAAACAGAAGTACAACAGCTGCAAATGCAAAAAAGACACCCCAGGAGCTGTGGACAGGTGCTCCTCCATCTGTTTCACACTTCAAGGTGTTTGGATGTGCAACATATGTGCACACCTCACAAAGAAGAAAACTGGACAACAAGAGCATTCTGTGCTATTTTTTGGGATTATCAGGGAGTCCAAAGCCTATAAACTCTATAATCCCTGTACTAAGAAGGCGGTGATAAGCAGGAATGTGCTGTTTGATGAGTCAAAATGTTGGGACTGGAAGTCCACCAACTAAACTAAGCTGGGAAGGAAGTGAAATGAACTGTATGAATCAGATGATGGGGATGACACTGCTAAAGAAAATTCAGCAACCCCAAATGATCAAGAGCAACAAAGAATCTCGAGTCCTGCTCCAATCACACCTCAAACTGGAAATCAGACTGAGACAGAAGGAGAGGACTCAGATCCTGAATCTCCAACAGATAGTTTGGGGCTGCCTACCTCAGGTCTTGGTTCTAGGGTGAGAAAACCGCCAGCTCGGTTAGCAATATATGATTGCTCACACTACACTGATGCAGACTGGTGGGCCATGGTAGTCACTACCACTGATCCATTAACCTATGAGGAAGCTGCTGAAGATGAGAAGTGGAATGCAACAATGGGAGAAGAAATGAACTCCATTGTAAAGAATCAAACCTGGACTCTAACCACACTGCCTCCAAATGTCACTCCAATTGGTTTGAAATGGATCTACAAGACCAAACTAAAGGAAGACAACTGCATTGATAAGTTCAAGGCAAGACTAGTTGCTAAGGGGGTACTCATAAAAGGATGGGATTGATTACAACGAAGTTTTTGCTCCAGTTTCAAGGTGGAACACAATAAGAACACTCTTGGCCCTAGCAACACATCATGGACTCACTGTTTATCAGCTTGATGTCAAGACTCAAGATTGCATTTCTCTATGACACACTTACAGAAGATGCGTATGTTGAGCAACCACAGGGATTTGTGGTTCCTGGGGAGGAAGATAAAGTCTACAAACTGAATAAAACATTGTATGGCTTAAAACAAGCTCATAGGGCTTGGTACATCAGGACTGAGTCCTATTTTCTAAGTGCAGGATTTGAGATAAGCACATATGAACATACTTTGTTCATACAGAGGAAAGAAGGAAATATCCTACTGGTTAGTTTGTATGTAGATGATATAATCTACACCAGCAACTGTGAGGACATGATTACTGAGTTCAAGAATTCAATGAAGCAGGAATTTGAAATGATTGATCTTGGTCTAATGAAATACTTCCTGGGAGTGGAGATCAATCAAACTGAAGAAGGAATCTTAATCTCTCATCAGAAGTATACAAAATAAATGCTGGAGAAGTTCAATCTGCTGGAGTGTAATCATGTCAGGAGTCCAATTGCCCCTAGAATGAAGTTGACAAAGGAAGGAGATGGAGTTTCTGCAAATCCATCAGAATACAAGCAATTGATTGTTAGTCTACTTTATGCCACTGCAACTCGACTTGACATTATGTTTTCAGTTTGCCTACTGAGTCGATTCATGGAGCAACCAACAAGGCAACACATGTTAGCTGCTAAAAGAATACTCAGATACCTTAAAGGCACACTGGGATATGGGATATGGTACCAAAAGGGCCATGATGAAGGCGGTCTAGTAGGGTATACTGAAAGTGATTATGCTGGGGATTTGGATGATCGAAAGAGCACCAGTGGATATGCTTTCTTCTTGGTTGGAGGAGTAGTTTCTTGGGCCTCCAAGAAGCAACCAGTGGTTACTCTCTCAACCACAAAAGCAGAGTTTGTGGTTGCTTCTTATATTGCTGCTCAATGTGTTTGGTTGAGAAGAATCCCGTAGCAGGTGGGTTGGGAAAGCAGTGTTAAGAAGGCTGCAAGAGTATACTGTGATAATAGCTCCACCATCAAGCTAGCCAAGAATCCTATACTTCATGGCAGAAGCAAGCATATAGATGTACGCTTCCATTTTCTCAAAGACCTAGTCAAGGATGAAGTGATTGAAATGATGCACTGTGGTTCTGGGGAGCAAGCAACTGACATACTAACTAAAGCCCTCAAGTTAGAGACCTTCGAGTTTCTAAGAGCCAAGTTGGGAGTGATTGAATTTGCAACAAGAGATGGTACCAGGAAGAGCAAGGATTAAGTGAACTGAAGCGTGAAGACTGGCTTCAGTTCAGGGGAGGATATGTGAGCTGAAGTCATGACTCAGGCTGACTTGAATTCGAATCTAAGAAGGAGAAGGATTAGAGTCACACAGCGGGAAAGTCTGATAATTTGAATAAAGGAACCAAAACTGTGTTGTTTGGTTTAAGAGTCTAGCTGATAGGTTTCATGGGTATTGTTTCAGTATAGTCCTTGATGTTTTTGTTTAGAGTCCTTTGAGTCCAGTCCAGGGTTTGAATTAGTTGCAGGTTGTTAGGATAAACAACTGATTAGTAGGACTGTTAGTTGAGTCATGGAGCACAAATCAAGGGATTGTGGGATAGTGGAGATGTATGGTGGTCGATGTCAAAGGCTAAGTCATTGTATTTAACCTTCTTTGATTAAGAGCAATAAGACTTTGTCAGTTTGCCCCATAAGAGTTTACACTGCGGAGGAGTAGCAGTAGCTCTCGAGCCTCGAAACCCTAGGAGCTCGAATGACCAGAGAATCCTGATTGAAATCGGCGGCTCTTTGCTGGATGGCTTGGACGATATATTTTAGTTTTACAAAGAGCTGAGCATGGACGGGATAAGGGAAGCGCGGGAGTTGTTTGTGCGCGCTTTTGATTAATGCGTTGACGTTTAAGCCAGTCGTCGACCACATTAATCCTGCCGTACTGGTAGCGAAGTTTCTGGAGATGAGGTAAGAGTTAAGTAGGGTCTGGGCTTTTTGTGGGAAGGGCTTTAGGAGTGCTCCTACTAATAAGAATTGGGTTGTAAGTGGGTTAAGAACCTCGTAGTAGTAGCTCGAGTGGCCCAACTTGTAAATCATTTTGGGTTGGTTTAGAATTGTTCTTTTTCATAAAAAAAAACAATCCGTATTAACCTTAGGTCCTCGGAAATAGGGATGGTTTCGGTTTCACCAAATTCAAACTCAAACAACAACAAAAATTCATTAAAAAAATGTGATAAAATACCCTTTGAGTTTTGAATGAGAAACTCAATCTAATCGAGCGGGTACCCACAGATTGCATGTAAAGCTGTTAAAAGGTTATTTTGTTAGCGTGAAATCGATAACCAAACTGGAACCGATGGCTAACGGTGACACCGAGAACAGATTAAATAGTAAATGGCAGTTCTCGATAGCCAAATTTAGTTAATTACTAACCGATGGTTAAACGGTTAATCGACTAATCGATGGTTAAACGGTTAACTGACTAATTGATGGTTAAATGGTTAACTGATTACGGTCATACTTGCAGTTAGGGTGGAAAATAATGCGCCTTGATGAGTCACATGCATAGGCCGAAAATAAAGAGATGTTTGAAAGCCTACAAGATGCCAAGTCTTATTCAACACTAGAGAATCCATTTCGTCATTAACAGGTACTTCCCATAAATTTGCATCGATAGAAGTTATAGCTTCCTGCAGAGACGTAGGATCTTCTAGGGTGTATATTGTAGTAAAATCTAAACCAAAATTCTTAGAGATTTTATCTCTTTTCCTTCTTCTGAGCACCAACTCAGATCCAACACCCTACTACTTTTGTTATCTCTAATAGGTGCCATGTTATTATCGCCACTATCTCTCATTTTAAATAGAAGTCATGTCTTAAAGAAATTGGCATAATTGGATTCTACTAGAGTACGAGCATTCAAGTCATAGAACCTATATGCCTTACTATTGGCAGCATCGCTAATAAAGACACATTCATATGCTCGAATGACCAATTTAATCTTCTTAGGATCCAGAATTTTACGTAGGCCAAACAGCCACATGTTCTTAAATAGGACATATTAGGTTGTCTATTCTTCAAAATCTCGTAGGGTGACTCTTTACTATTCGTTTTAGGAATTCAATTAAGCATACAATAAACAATCAACAAAATATCACCCTGCCAAGATAAAGCAGCTCTAGAATTGATCATAATAGCCATCGTACTAATTTGGTAAACGTCCTATTTTTCTACTCAGCTTTACCATTCATTTCTAGGGAATAAGGTGCAGTGGTTTCATGAATCATATATCACGTGAGCTATAGAATTCTTTTCCAGGGTTAGAGTCGTACTCTGATCCTCTATCACTTATAAGCTATTTGACTTTTCTATTGCACTGATTTTCAAATCCTTCCAAAACTACCTTAAATATATCAAGGGCTTCACTTTTGTTTTTTATCAAGTAAACAAAAGTATAATTAGAGAAATGAAATTTATAATAAAATATATCTTGCATTCCTAGTAACGCCCATATAATTCACAAACATCAAAGTTAATTAAATCGAGGGATCTTATTCACATTATAAAGACGAGCACACCAAACATTCAAATCAAAAACCATCTTAACAGAAGAATTTATCTTATAATTTGATATTCAAATCGACCACAATCAAGGGGAATACCTGATTGATACAGAGCTCGCTTGAGTGCTAGAGATCCACCAACAAACAAGGATAAAATTCAAGAGTGAAAACAATATGAACCAAAAAAGTTTTTTTTTTCTATTCAACATAATCTCCCACAAAATAGAGTTTAAAACCCTTTAAATAGGTATGGAAAATAAAGCTAATGAAAGTACAGAAATGGGAAAAAATCCTAAACAAAAAAGTAACTAAAACTCGTTAGCCCTAAATACCCTATCGACACCGGTCCTTTTTATCCCAATCTTGTATCTCGAACCTCATATCCCCTATAGGAGATTTTAACCCACCTGATAGGGTATTTTTTCCTAATCACCATACGATATTTAGGCTGCTCGTTTGGTGTCCGGGAAGTTTCAATCCTGTCACCCATCGCCTTCACGATCTTTAGCAAGACTTGTACTCTCATTCCTAAAATCTAGCTTCCCTCGAATGTCTCCCATATCAAAACTAAGCTCCCAAAGTAGGTACAACGGACTGTTTCCTAGACTTAGCCAAATTTCCAGCTTCTTTTTCCCTTGACTATGTTTCTTCTTTGAACATCAATAGGAATGGTTTTGGGCCATGATCCAGGATCACATAAGCTGACCAAAGTGCACCCTGGCCTAACACTAATAAGAAGATGGACTTGATTACCTATTTCAAGGGTAGAGGGAAATGTCCAAAGCTCACCAATGCCCCAACATGCGAGCTCTTGTGTTGCTTGATGATGGAGAGTACGGGTTCAAAGAAGGGGAAGAAGAAGAAAAGAATGATGATGATGATGATGAGAATATTGAGATGGAAGCGGCACATGCTCCTCTTCTAGGATCTCATCCCGTGGTCATCAAGCATCCCAAAGGGAACATCCTCAATAAATGAGAACTCACCATTAGTGCCCTTAAAGATAGGGGTGTTCAAACGGTTTGGTTACCATGGTAACCGTTTTAATCAATACTATTTGGATAATTTGGTTTGGTTAGTTTGGATAATTGGTTTGGTTTGGTTAAAGTTTTTAGCTTGTTTGGTTTAGGTGGTTTGGTTTGGTTTCAGACACTCCTAACCAATCAAACCAAATTAACCAGTTAAGTAATTAGTCATATATCTAACATATATTATATACACATACTTAATACTTTGCATAACCACTCAAGAGTTAACGTTCATCCATTTTAGACTCATAAAATATAAAGCTCAATATTGCTCATATAGTGTATATTTGTATATGTAAAATGTAGACCACAACATATGGACGCCTAATTTAGATAAATTTCATACATTATGATGGATGAAAACTTGAAAGGAATGTCATTGACAGCCTATGATAATTGCTAAGAGACTAAGTCAATTTACACAAACACAACAATTCATTAACCCATACCATTGTCATAAAAAAATTTTAGGTGAATACTTCTATACTAATCGTAAGATAATTGTCTTAGTTGCATGTATTTTTGTTAAGGGTCAACTATAACTACGTGTTGATTGTTATGTTTTATTCATTATATAAATTGCGAATTGTTGCATTAACCGGAAAATTTTCATCGTCAATGATAATGTGATTTTATATTGGTTAATCTGGTTAACCAATTAACCAAATCGATTAAACTTTAGTTTGGTTAATTTGGTTGTTGTATTAGTTTGGAAGGTTTGGTAATGATATTGTATTCCATGGTTAATGGAATTTAGCCTTATTTGGTTTGGTTATAACCATGGTAACCATTTGAACACTTTAAGTTAAAGAAGCAAATCAAAGGCACAATATTTTTCACACCGTTGTAAGTTGAGTACCCATTTGGATTCAATGATCATTGACGGATGTAGATGCGATGGTTGAATGACTGTGGACGTAGCTGAAATAGTGAAGCGTTGTGGATTGAAGACTGAAAAGCATCCGGAGCCCTACAATCTGAGATGGTTGAATGACTGCGGACAGTGGCGGATCCAGGATATAGTAGAGTACTGGGCCGCATTTTATTAGAAAATTAGATACCGCAAAAAATTATAACTTTTTTACAATATCAATTGTACAAGTCGATTTTTTAATATAGTGAAATCATCAATAAAGGAGTCTACATCCATACTAATCGCATACTACTCTTTTTCAAATAAAATAGTTAACCAATCGACGAGAAATTCATCGCTCATTTTGTTGCGCAAATCATTTTTTCATATGTTCCATTGTTGAAAAGGTTCTCTCCATAGTAGTTGTTCAAACGGACAATGTCAACACTAGACAAATCAATCGACTAATCAATTTTGTATTGTGTATCCATCCCTATTTCCCACCCCCTACTCTAGTGATTTTTAAGTGAACAAATCTCATATTTCTTTTAGCCTTTTACGTTTTAGACTTTTAGTATTTTAGGTTTCATTGTTTGTTTTTCGTTAGACGAGACTCATTTGAGCTAGAATTTCTAGACTAAATTTAGAGTTATGATTTGAATATGTTCATCTTACTCATTTTCCTAATTAAACACAATTTTATTATAAAATAACACTAGGCCAAATGACTAAAATCGATAAACACATAAGGACTATACTAGTTTCGGATCCAGAGGAGGGATGGGCCGTGGCCCGGAGTGGCCACCCCCTGGATCCGCCACTGACTGCGGATCAGTCAAGGTGAATGACCAAGCTGTGGTTCCATTTGAGATTGGAACTTACAGGGACTTTGCCATGTGCGATGTTGTTCCAATGCAAGCCACCAACCTTCTTCTGGGAAGCCCTGGTAGTATGACAAGAAAGCTATGCACAACGGACAATCCAACTCGTAAGTCTTCAAGTATGGGCGTAGAACATTGGAGCTTTTTTCGTTGTCTCCAACTGAGGTAGTAGAAGACCAACATAAGCTTGCCAAGACCTTTGTAGAGCCTAAAACTAGCTCAACTCACTCCAAGAAGCAGCCATAATGAACTTTGATGGCCCAAAGATATATGCTAACGAGTTTTCAGGGGCATAATCTCAAAGTTCATCAACTGAAGGAGATGTCCTATTCTGACCCACCCATGAAGCAACCCACCTGGCTTGGAGCACTAGAGCCAACTACTAAAGTCACACAGGGTGTGGAAAAACCACAAATCTATCCAACAAGCTAGAGTAAACTGCAAAGGGGAATTGCAGTGTCGATAGCTTTGATCTTGGAGTTAAATTCTTTGTGCCCAGAAAAGACGTTCTTCGACTCCACACTCAAGGTCGTATACGAGTTCCAGGAAGAATTGGACCCAATTGAGAAGCAGAATCCATTTTTGGAGGTGCAACAAATGTGTAGTAAGCAAGAAATCGGATAAAAATTGATCCAGCAAGAAATCCCCAATTTCAATTTTCAAAATTTCAAGTCACCGGAGCTTGGTGACAGAAAACGCGGAAAAGATTCCAAGAGATGGTGGTTTTGTTTGGAGCGTCGACGAACTTCTGGAGTGTGGGGAAATAGTACTTGGGAGCCTGACGCATCTTGTGGACAACAGGAATTGGAAGGTTGAAGTCTGTACGAAGAAATCCCAATTTTGGAACTTCCGTCGAAACTCAATTGACTGTCGCCGGAGTTCGTAGACTGGTCGCCAGAAATTGGAAATTTTCCAGTTCAAACATTCGACTGTTTCTTGCATGAATTTGTTGGGGAAATGGTGGAAGAAGTATCTTACGACCTTTTTGAGGTCATTCCAGCACCAATGGCCACCAGGAATCAACTAATTCAAGTCCAAGAGCAGCTCGATTCAAAGGAGCACAAAATCGACTTCTAGGATCCTATTTGGGATGCTACTTTGCTTCATTTTTGTTGCAGGCGTGATCAAGCTTTGCAAGAAAAGATTTTTCGATAGGGAGGTCCTGATTAAGTCTCATTTTGGAGTTCAAAGGATCAAAGAGAAACCAATCACAAGTGTTTGAATGGTTTCTTAAACCATGACAAATACCCTACTTCTTACCCTTATATGTTAAGTTCAGGGTTCCATTTGGTTTGAAAGTGGCAGGTAGTTCTAGAAGGTGTTACCAGCTTTCCAGGAAGCCATCAAGCTCTTACAAATTCCATCCAGAACTCCAGAATGAGTTTGAAGAATGTAGCTACTCAAACACATGGAAAAGGGGCCAACTTTGTACAAGTGTGGAAGGGCCAGATTCTGATAGTGAGAAGCCAACTTTGGACGTCTGGATCTCTCTGTTGGATGACGATTAAGCAAGCTTGATGTCTTGAATGATAGTAGGAAACTTTCGTTACAACATGAAGGCATTGGTTGACCACAACAAGAAGGGTACGACCACTTTCCAAGAGCTCGAAAACAGTACCCATCACGATAAAGCTTGCATCTTACGGCACTTGCTTGCCCACGAAGAAACCTTCTTTCCTTGTTAGTTTTGACTTTTGTTTCGATCTTCTTTTCCTTGTTTGCTTAGAATAGTAATTCCTTCCTAGTTAGTAGCATTTTATGCCTAAATAAAGGCTTCCAATTTGTCTATAATAGTTAGACTGAATCGGATTATAAACTTGATTATTTTTATTCATGTTCTTTGTTTGAACATTGTCTTTGATTGTGTGTTTGGTTCAGTCCAAGCTTGAGATCAAGCTCAAGCATCAACTAGTGAACCACGACTGGTCGTGGGAGCTCTACCCTAAATCATTGAGCTTCTTTCCCTTCGAGAAAGTTGTTCGATTGATCCACCTAGCTAGTTCGAATTGTGCTTCAAATTCAAGGATCCCTTAATACTTGTTAGTTGCGTTTCTACTCTGAAAGTAATCGTTCTTGGGATTACATCAACTATTCATTCCCAACAATTTGAAATATGTAAACTCTCACGATAGAACACGAATCCCTGCTATGAGACTTTATATTTGTTTCTCTTGTATTCCTTTTTTGCTCTTGCCTTCTTTCTTTCTTAACTCGTATACTCATAAATTGTTATAGCAGGTTGTAGAATAGAAATCCTAAAGTTACAAAGTGGACAACTTCCTAATGGACAGGTTGCGAATCACTACTCGAATGTGTTGTGATGATTTTATCCATAACATGTTTGGTTTTTATGAAATTGATAACTGTGTTTTGTTTCCATGAGGTTCATGGTTTAGGGTCCTAATTCATGCCTTTTTGAGTTGCACCAAAAAGAAGGAAGTGATGTGGAGAATTAATTTATAAGGTTTCCTTTAGTATATGAAGTAAGATGTTAGATGCATTTTTCGTGTTTAGTTTATGAACCAACAAACGAAAAATAAAATAGTTGAATAGTTAATAGTAGTGGTTAATAGTACAAAATGGCCTTTACTATGGTATTTTTTTAAACTTGCCCTTCTACTATAATTCACATAAAAATTGCTCTTATATTATTGTTCAATATCAAACTTGACCTTCTATCAATATTTCCTTCCCAATTTCGTCAATCATGGTTAGACCAGTCCAACCGCAACAAATTGGAAAATGGAAATGTCCAACTTACCCTCCCTCACATCCTTCTGATTCACCTCACCCGTCCTCCCATTATACCAAAGTGAGGCTCGTCTTCGAATTCTCACTCATTATGAACGATTGCAGACTGGACAATTGCCCAACCGCTCCGACAGCTTAATCTTTCGAAACTACTGGCTTCCCACGTCGAACTCCACCACGCTAAGGTCTCGAAACTCAATAGGTTTCCCGTACCCGACGCAGTGAACCGCTCTGTTGAGAAAAGTCTGTCTGGAGAGTTCTGAAATCACGCGGAGAAGTGGGAATGTGGGATCATCAATATCTCCCCACAGCCGTGATATGCAACGCCTCCATGAACTTTTACTCATCCAATAGTAGTGCCTTAAGAGGAGCTTACGGTTGTGGATTTGGTTGCAAAGCAAATTAGTGGGGATGGATATGAAAGTTGGGTTTGTAATGAGAGAGAGCTAGGATTGGAGTTCGAATGGCAGCGGAGGAGGTATTTCGGGAAACAACATGTTGAGTATCTTTTGGTTTTAGGTTTCATCAATTGATGATGATATAGCTACCTTCTTTCATATTTGGTTTGGCTTCTCTACTCTCACTAATCGGAATGCTTTTCACCATCGTTTTTTGGAATTTTTGGATTTTGCATTTAGGGTTAACGTTTTAGAGTAATGATTTAGGGAATGGGAAAAGTTTATTAATGTTGGGCATGATTGGCAATCAAGGTGAATGGCGACCAGGACACGCCATCGTCGTAGCAGGGGACACGCCGCCGGGAGATGTAAGTCTGGCTGGGGAGAAAGATGGAGAAGGGGTCAGGGGTAAACTTGAACTTTCCCATCCCATTTTGCTACGGTAAGACCAGCGTAACTGTTGTTGTCAGAATGGGATGGAAATAAATTAACAGAAGGCAAGTTTGGTATTGGACAATAGTAAAAGGGAAATTTTGATTTGAATCATAACACAGAGGTAAGTTTGAGAAAAAAACCATAGTAGAGTGAAATTTGTGCTATTAACAGACATTTTACAAGTATACATATATCAAAGACATTTTAACAAACTGTATTAATGGACAAGAGATTAGTCTAGTGGTAATATCACTAGCTTTGTACTGGAGGTCTCAGGTTTAAATCATTTAAATAATACTTAATTTCAATAACCAACATATATCACCCTTCTAAAAACAAACGGTATTGCTTAGATCATCTCCCCCCCCCCCTCTCTCCAATATAGGAAACAATATAAACACTTACCTATTCTTGTTTGCCATCTCTCCGTCCATGGTTGGAAAGAAGACAAAACTTAATAAATTTTGCCAATTAATTCTAAAATCTAGACAGATTTTGCTACACACATTAGTTGGGTAGAAGCATTCATTATGTGCTAGCTTCCTTATTGTATTTCTATACGCATATAATATTCAGTAGTTTAGATGAACTCATGTTAGATAAAAAGTTTAGACTTTCATTCCAGAAGAAGAAGAAGAAGAAGAAGAAGAAGAAGAAGAGAAATTTAGAGGGAATTTGGATGGCCATGGCCGGAGAAAAAGTTTCAAGGAAGTCATCAATTGGCTCCGGCAAGATGGTGATGATGACGGTGGCCTTGATGTTGGCTGTGGTTATGCTTGGGGAATTTCAACTGGGGAGGGCAGATGATCCGGTCAACAGGAAATGTGTGAAGGATTGTCTGGCCAAGTGTCATTCCACCGAAGACCGATGTTACTGCTTATGCATTACGAAATGTCCCGGTACCATACCTCCAGCGAGTCGAACTTCGCAATGTCTGAATGATTAGCGAATGATAATGTGTAATGTGTATTTATCTATGTTCAGCACTTGGATCTGAATAATCATTTTCACCTGATTCTCCTTGCATTTGAATAACTTCATAATGCATCCTAGGGTTTTCCACTGGTAAGATGGACACATATCATCTCTCAATGTGTTGTGCAATTTTCTCTTCGTATTATTCATTTGATCATTCCTCCTCGCGTTCAAAATCTTTATCCGGTTAATTGCTTCCTCAAGTTCTCTACTCCTTTTGGTTTAACCATGGTAACAACATTTAGTGTTATCCTTGTCCCCATTGATGAATTAAGCTACAGTTCTAAGAAGCATTTTTCTTATGACATCCTAACAAAACCCTTAGTCATTGGATCGTGAGCTCTGCAATTTGTAGCAGTTAGATGCACACGGGTACAAAATTAATGTTGGGATCTCTATTTCAACTCTTTTTTTTTTTTTTGTAGAAATCTCCAATTCAACTCTTAAGTGGGGTTCTCACTGATGGTTTAATGAATTTTTTGAAGGTTTCTCAAAAACAAAATGAAAATTTTTAAGAGCAAAATTGATATTTTGTGTTGGTCAGTCTACAATTTCACCGCTTCTAGCCAAGATTGGTTGGCGTATCCTGAACGAGCCCTCCTCTCTTCTTGCCCAAGTATATAAAGGGAAGTACTTCCCAAAGGGAGGGTTTCTAGAGGCTACTGCGCGCTCGCGCCCATCCTGGGGATGGCAAAGCATTCTCTTTGGTAGACAATTGCTGGTTCAGGGCCTCCGATGGCAAATTGGGAATGGTATGACAACCCCGCTACTCAATAGCAATTGGGTGCCTCGTCTTTATCCATTACCGCCTACCTTTAACCCAATGGTTGTGCCTGAGGAGGGTACCCAAAGAGTTGTTGCGTTTATTTGCCATGAAGAGGGGCGTTGGTGTGATTCCAAATTAAGCTAGTGGTTTGACCCACCCCCTTGCCGTGGTATTAAGGAAATCCCTCTGCCTCGTCATAATGTGGAAGATCGATTAATTTGGCATAGTACGGCTTATGGGCTTTTCACAGTTAAGTCAGCTTACCATCTGCAGTTTTTTTTGGATAAGAAAGAGGGTCGCTGGCGTTTGAAAGCTAGTTAGATGGATAGATCCAGTTGGATTAGGTTGTGGGAGGCTCCTATCCCGCCCAAACTAAAAGTGTTCCTGTGGAAAATTTTCAATCGTCTCCTTCCCACGACGGAAGCTCTTCTCGAGAAGGATGTTCCTGTCCATCCCCGCTGTCCGGTTTGCTGGGCGGAATCAGAAACCTTAGAACAGTGTCTACCATCCGGCTGGGCAATTTTCTGCCCGTTTTTATGGATATCGACCAGAACAGTGTCTGAGTCCAGTTTTGACCAGTTAGACCGGGCGCTCTGAACCGGTTTTGATAACACTGCTTTTAAGAGCTTATCTTTTTTATGAATGATGAGACTCAATTTTATTACCAAATCAAAATAAGAAAAAGCTGACAATGAAAAAAAAAAGAGGCAAGGCCACAACAAAGGCAGAAAAAACTACATAAATGGGAAACCAAAGAAGAAAATACAAAAAAAAAATAGAAGAAAACAACGTAGCTAACAACCTGCTACAAAAATACGAATTGAAAAAAAAACATATCACCCCAACAAAGTCAAAGCCCATATACACCACATACTGAAAAGGGGAAAAAAACAAAACAATCACAATTATTCAGCATGCCCCAATCCTCAACCACTGCTGAAAATACTCATCAGAGATAATTTCAAAACCTTGCAACCATCTACCGACCATCTGAACAATTTTACTGCAAACCTCAGAGTGTGTAGCTTCCAAATCACAAAAATATTTGTTGTTCTACTCGCTCCAAATGGACTAAAGCACTGCATGTGATAGGACCTTGGCAAAATCCTTAAGTTTTGGATCACACCACAAGCCTCTCCAAGCAAGAAGAAAAAAACTAATAATAGCTAAAAACGGACAGTGAAACTGAAAAATCTTTGTAATTTTGCCCAAATTGCGCCGAAAAGGAGCATGAGAACAAGAATGTGAGACAAACTCCTCTTAAATTTGCATAGAGAGCACCAGTTGGTAACAACCACAGAAAATAATTCAGAAACAAAAGCACCCAAAAATTGGGCCACGAACCAAAGCCTTGGGAAATCTCTCACAACGTGTTTCCCAGGAATCCACACATCATGCAAAAAAAAAAATCACACCTCCACCCACTGGATCGACATAGACCACATCCCAAAAATAAGAGCACTCATTAGCAATTGCCTGCCATAGAGAACATCCATAGGGCCCAAGTTCCAAACAGGTTTCCACTCTAAGCACCCTTGTCCAGTGTCCACACTTCACAACGATCAACTTCCTCCACCATGCACCTCTCTCAATCCCAAATCTCCAAGCCTTTTTCCCAAACAAGGAGCTGTTAGCAATCTTAAGATCCAAAACACCCAATCCCTCCTCCCCATCCCATCTCAATAGTTGAAGCCTTTTCATTTCTAAAACACACGACCACATGTATTCATTTTGAATTTTTTCCAATCTCGTAATCACTGAGACTGGAGCTTTGAAAATAGAAAGGAAATAGATAGGTAAATTTGAGACAACGCTCCTTAATAGAAGTATAGAACTAACCTCCATTAAAAGTATGAAAAAAATGGGGAGAGAGATACCTTGAATTAATCTTCTCTCCCTCGAAAATACACAAGACGCTTCACTATTGACCAACACTGAGAAATTGGGTGCCATTATACACTCTTGAACCCATGAAGTCCTATTCTGCTCATATGTTAGTACGTTACTTCCTTCCCTCTGATTAGTATTAATACTATATCACCCTTTACCAAAAAATAGTGTGGTAGAGAATAATTCATTAATTTTTTCTTTTATGCACATACCGTATAAATGAAAGGTAGTTAAATCTAACCTTTTAACAATTTCATCAAAATTATTTTAACAATCTCAACTAAAATGTGAGATTTAACCGTCACTCATTTTGATTGATAATTTCTGTAACATCAAACAAATAATATTTGCACATAAAATTCAAAATAATATGAATTATGAACGATACAAAAATTATAACAATTTCAATCAACCATCACCAAAACAAAACTATCCTTAAGGGGCCGTTTGGTTTTGGTGATAGTTAAACGGATGCATTGTCATTAATGCATGCATAATAATATGAATGTATATATGAAAATTGGTGTATTATAGTTTAAATCATTTGGTTCATGTGATATTTATTGTGGTATTTAAATAAAGCATATTACTTTTTGGCTGAAATGTCACTTTTACCCTTTGTTTTTAATATTAAAAAAGCAACACACATTTAAAGGTAGGGACATAGTTGGAACAAAAGAAATCCCAACAATCTCTACCAAACAATCTCAACAATCTCAACCAAAACTTGAGATTTAACTATCACTCATTTTGAGTGATAGTTTGTGTCAAATCAAGCAAACAATGTATGTATTGTTTGTGCAAAAAATTCAAAAGCACGATGCATTGTGGACAATGCATGTATTGAATTTAGGGGTAGTTTGGTTTGGGTGATAGTTTGGTTGGGATAGTTACAATGCATGTTATGTCCACAATGCATAGTTTTTTTGAATTTTATGCACAGACAATACATGCATTGTTTGCTTGATGTGACACAAACTATCACTCAAAATGAGTGATAGTTAAATCTCAAGTTTTGGTTGAGATTGTTGTGTTTTTTTTCTTCTTCCACCTAGTCCCTACCTTTTTATGTGTGTTGCTTTTTTATGGGTGAAATGTCACTTTTACCCTTTGTTTTTAGTATAAAAAAGCAACACACATAAAAAAAGCAACACACTAAAACCAAACGATGTAAACTACAATAAACCAATTTTCTTATATACATGTAAATTATTATGCATGCATTGATTACAATGCATCCATCAAAACCAAACGACTCCTTAGTATATGAAGCAACAAGTTGTATGTGTTTCATAATTGTGTTTAGCAACGTGGAAGTTCTAGTAGTAACACCACTAGCCTAGACCTGAACATTTCAGTTTCGAATCTATTAAGTAGTACCTTAATCACAAAAAAATAAAAGCTTGCTGGTACGGAACGCACCAACATAGGAAACAATATAAACACTTACCTATGCTTGTGTGAAATATCTCACTCTATGGTTTGAAAGAAGACAATACTCAATAAATTTTGCCAATTAATTCTCAAATCTAGACAGATTTTGCTAATAGTTTCTTGCCAAAATCCTACCGTTACAAATATTTGTTGGTTTGAAAGAAAACAATACTCAATAAATTTTGCCAATTAATTCTCAAATCTAGACAGATTTTGCTAATAGTTTCTTGCCAAATTCCTACCGTTACAAAGCATTCATTATGTGCTAGCTTCTGTGTATCTAAACGCATATAAATACAGTAGTTCATATAAATAAATCCTTCGAGATCTCCATCTGATTAATTGCTTGCTAAATTTTTCTACTCCTACTGACTAATCGAGCTACAGCCCTAATTAGTATTTTTAATGACATTACAATGGCGGAGCCAGAAATCAAAACGAAATGGGGCTAAAAATACACGTAAGAGAATTTAAACCGATAAACACGATAGAGTCTTAACAACTATTATATTTCACAAATATATTATTAAGTTTACATGTCATTTGTCATGGTTTTAAAAGTTTAGGGGGAAGGGGCTACAATCTCTCCTAGGCTCGGCAACTGGGCCCGAATTCCGGGTCCCCACCCGGGCCTGATCCGTTTCCTATCGAATTAAATCTGTTTGATCGGATTGTTGACAGGTTCCGGGGAACCCAAAACCCACTATAGTCGATTAAAGGGCGGTGATGGTTTTGTTATAATTTGCCCCGGCAGCCCCCGAAACCCGCAACCAGAGAACCCTAGCCCTCCTCATCCCACTTCACTCGCGAAAAATCCTCCTCATGTATCCCAATTCTCGTTCTGATAAACCAATCTCCAACCCCGACCCGTCCTCTTCTCT